GATGGCTTTGGCTATTCTGAGTCTTTTATTTTTCCAAATGAATTTCATGTTTGCTTTTCCTAGTTCTATGCAGAACGTTGTTGGGATTTTAACTGGAATTGCATTAAATCTGTATAACACTTTGGGTAGTATGGCCATTTTGACAATATTGATTCTGCCTCTCTAAGATCATGGGAGACCTTTCCATCCTCTAAGGTCTTCTTCAATTTCTTTCTTTCGTGTTCTTTAGTTTTCATTGTAGGGGTTTTTACCTTTTTTGTTAGATTGATTCCCAAGTATTTTTTTTAAGGTATTGTGAATGGGGAAGTTTTCCCAATTTCTCTTWCACATATATTTTTGCTTTCCTTCCCCTTTTCTTAAATAAATGGTAGCATGTTACACACACTTTTTTTCCTATTGAATTTTTTCAACTAATAGCCCTGGAGATCACAGCACAGGCTTATAGGATGTATTTCTAATATATCTCTAGAACTGAGACTGCCAAGCCAAAAATGCTTATTTATTGATTGCTTGATTGATTGATTGATGCTAGGGATAGAACCCAGGGCCTTGTGCTTGCAAGGCAAGCACTAGCTGAGCTATATCCCCAGCCCACTGCATATGTATTTTGATAGATAATTGCCACATTCCCCTCACTCTGGTGAATTTCACTATTTTGTGCAGACACACTTTTATGCAAAGCACATAATTAAAGGAGATCTATTGTCTGCACTAAAGGCTAAATGATTGCTCATTTAAACCTTGTGGGACTTGAATCCCCCAAATGCTCATTAATGACTGACCTGCTCTGCCAAACTTTATCCCCATTTTACAACAAAGAAACTGAGACACACAGAGACCAGTGACCCACCATGAGTGACATAGCAACCTTCAAATTAAAGTCCACATCTCCTGACCCTGAACTCAGATCTCCTTTTAGTGTGTTATACATTTGTTTATGGTGAACTGGGTTTGCTTATCTGGAGATGGGGCTGGGAGGAACAGTAGTTCTTCTAAGGAAGTTAAGAAATTAATGAGATAATTACAGGTGAATTCTCCCTTGGGTGTGGGACAGATTCTTCAAGATATGGCTGAATTGCTTTAAGTGAACAGGACATCAGTAATGAGTCTGTGGGGTGAGGGCGCTAAGACAGGATTTTATGGATGGGAGAGTCAGTCACCCCCTCCCCCAAACCAATATGTTTAAGCACCTTGCTGAACCTGCCTGGTTCTTGCAGAGTTCTTTGAGCTTGGAGCAAAGATGCTGTTATGCTGTGCAAAAATTTACAAATGGACATGAAGGAGATGTCATTTTCCTGTTGAATGAACAAAGCTGCAAAACACAAAATCTTTTTTTTTTTTTTTTCGTTTTTTCCCCTTTTCCTGGAGTAACCCAGGGCTTCTCCTCTGTGCTTGCAGGTTGACTGACTTATGTGCACCCTGGGACACTGGAGTGTGCTTTCCCTCCACAGCCTGGAGCCGAGCCTCCTCCGGTGTTGCAAGGCGGGGGCTGAATGAGGCAGAGGAGGTGAGTGGGACCCCAGCCTGGGGTGGGGGTGGCTGCCAAGATGTGCGCCTCAAGCCCTTCTCTTTGATGACTGAAGGCTGTTTGCCTGGCCCCAGAAATCTTCTGAGGGATCTCCTTCCATCTCCCAGAGTCAGAAGCCCAGGCCCTCCCTGGAGGAGGCTGCAGCTGAGGAAGCACTGGCTCCTCCCCCAGCAGGTGCAGTCAGCCAGCGTTAGTGTCCCCATGTCCCCGCTGTCCACCTCAGTTGAAAAATTAGCCACTGGCTTTGTTTGTGACCTGCATCCCCCCCACCAAGCCTGGGCCTCCACAACCGGGGAGCCTCCTGAGTGACAGCCCTGGCAGATGGGGCACGGTCCAAGAACACCCCCTCTGGGCGGGGCATTGGGCCCTGGCAGATGGACAGCTGCCCAGGGTGCAGGAAGCAGCCAGGCCCACATCACGGAGCCGCACCCTGCATCCTAGCCTGCATTGTTCCATTCTGGGGTAGAATTCCCTCCTGCTCCAGCAGCTCCTGCCTTGCTCAGGCAGGATGCAGGGAGGCAGGCAAGACGCAAGGGCTGCAATTTTATCAGAAGAGTAACTGGGGGTAGACACAAGCTGGGTGCCTGGAGGCTCGGGGATGGGAGAGTCTGGCCTGGAGGCCGGGATCCTCTTTTTCTTGAAGTTTGAGCATCTCTGCCTCATTGTGGTGTCTGGTGTTTTCCAAGAAAAAAGTTGGAATGGAACTGGGGAAGCAAGTAGAGTTTAAAAAGAAGAGGTAGCATGCCCTGGAGACACCAGTTTGGGATCTGAACAGGTYGTCCAGCCCCATTTGCTGTGTGACCTCTGAAAGCTTCTTAATCACTCTGGGTCTCTCAGTTCCTGGTTGACACAATGGAAATAGTAATGGAAGAGCCCTGCACAATGTCCTGCATATAGTAGGTGTTCAATAAACCAAAGTTTTTAGTAATCATATCAACAGTAGACCTTGTATCAGGGTCGTCTCTCTATGGGCCTTTTCARGGCAAAGCCTTGTCACAGAGCAGTGCCAGGTTTCAGGGACCCCCTGAGAGATTCATCTGACSGTGGTTTTTCACCCTGTCAGTGTTACTATATATCATACTTGAACAKGCAGATAGTTGAGGGGGAGGTTACTATATGTGGAGGACTCTGATCACAAAAGCGGTGTGCCGGTTTATTGAAATGGGCACTTTGTATATGTAAAACCGAATGGGGACAGACCCCAGGTTTGCCACAGAATCAGGGAGTTAGTCCAGCTTCGCGCCACCAGGCCCCTCTCCCTGTATTTTTTCACAGACCTGTCCTATCCCCACCCTCCCCGGGCCCATGTAGTATGCTGGGTGGCCCAACCAGGCCCCGCACTGGGAAGCTGCGCCCCCTGTCTCTGATGACAGGCACTGCACGTCCACAGGAACACTTCCCACCTAACCTGCACGGAGCTCAGATCCTTATCCTTTGTGTGGCAGGTCCGTTTCCGTTAGCCATGTCTCCTAGCGCTCATCCAGATTCTGGGAGGTGAGCAAGGCTGGTGTTGTGCCATTTGATGGRCCAGCAAACTGAGGCCCCAAGAAGTTATTCCCCCAAGCTCCACAAAGCTAAGGAGCATGAGATCCGCCGGGAGAACTCTGATGCCCTGAGCAGAGGGATGTTTTTCTCTTGCTGTGACATCACATGGTCACATGGCCACCTCTAGTGTGGGGTGCCCCATCAGAAGGGGAGCATCCATCAGAGCCTTTTGGACACATGGAGGAACCTAAGACCAGACAAAGAGGGCAGAGAACATTTGCAGGCAGGGACAGCTGGCCACTGAGGGAGCAAGGGGTTATGGGAGAAGGGAAGCTCTTCTAGGTTTCTTGAGCTGGTGACATTGATCACCATCTGGATAACCCACATCAAGGGGTCCCCGGGCACCACCACCACGCAAGCAGTTCCCAGGCGTCCCTCCTCACTGCAGCCCTACAAGGTGGGGCCACTTGTCACCTACACTTTACTGAYGAAGCAAAGTACATGAAGCTTCAGGAAATTCCCCAAAGCCCCATCGAAGAAAGCCAGCCCCTGGGTTCGAATCCCAGCAGTCTGGCTCTGGGACCTGAGCAGTTGACCCTCTGGGTTTGTGGCCACATGTGGTTTTCGGGTGGCTTCATCCAAGCTTCATCACAGCATCGTATGATGTTTCTGAGCAAGTGCCAGCCGGGCTCCGGGTGTGATGTAACTTCGCTGCTCAGGAGGCTGGGAAGCCTCCTAGGAGTAAGTCCTCCATTTCTCGGGCTCTCCCCGCTTTGTTCTGAGGCCCCTGCCATCTGGAGCGGCCTGGGCATCTGCTCCTGAGCCTCGCCCTTCTCCCTTCTCCTCCCACCCCAGCATGWGGCACCTTCCTACACTCAGCCTTGTCCCCACCCCCCAGGGCTTCCACTCATTGTCAGCTCAGGTCACCAGGAACAGACACCTGCCTTCTGTCACATGGCAGAGAAACCAAACAGCTTCCCAGGCCTTCAATTTCCCAAATGGATCCATTTGTTTAATTGCACTCACCCTCCCCAGCATGTCAGCAAGACACGGGGCCTGCCCTCTCCAGGCCACTGCAGGCCAGACTAGGCTCCAGGGGGCAGGGCTGGGGATTGATTGACAGGTGYAAGGTTGCAGCGCTCCACTAAGAGCTGTTTGGTTTGCTCCTCCATCCCCAAGCCAGTTCGGGCCACAGAGGCCGCACCTACACATAGGCATGGATCATAGGGGTRGAGATAGGTCCAGGTTGGAGGTGGCCACAGTGAGAGCCGGTCCCCTCCCTGGCTACCTCTTTTCTGTGAAGTGATGTCTTTCCTGTCCCTTGGCCTTTCTGCTCGACCTTTCTACCAGAGCCTGAGCTGTGAGCGCCTGGACAGCTGGTGCCTGTCCTCGTTTCTGATAGATACAAGGACCCCAAAGGGCAGCAAACCCAAAGCCTTCTCTACACCCCCAGAGCCAATACGTCTTTGGCATCAGCCCGCATCACTGCCAATGCGCCGCAACCAGACTCCCAGACAAACAGTACATCTTAAAACTCAGAGAAAAAAAAAACTGTCCCTTCTGTTGCCACCCCTGTCGCTCCCCTCCCCCTCAGCCCCTGCTTTCACAGCCCCTCCAGCCCTCGGATCCCGCTGCAGGATAGCAGTTGGGTGCAGAGTGCTGTCATACTGGGTGGAAAAGCAGAAGGCAGAGGAGGGAGGGAAGGAACAGATGTCGCTCCCCCCTGCGGCTGAGTCCTTTCCTTCCCAGCCCCACTTGTCACAGCAGACAGGAATTTAAAAAATGCYGTCCTTGGAACATTAGCAGCCAAATCACCATGGACAGCAGGATGGCAGGCACTTCAGAAGAAGTGACCAGCTCCCTGTGGACGCCTAGGTCCTGGGCCCTGATGGGAGAAGCCGGAGGTGGGGAGCACTTTGGGGAAAGAGAGGCAGGAGAGTGGGGAGCCCAGAGGTGCTTTGGCTGGCCTGGGATCTTGCAGGAGCCTCCCTTTCTTTCTGGCCCAAAGTAGACAGTCCCTGTGAGATGCCTGTSCTGGGCACCAAGAATAGAAACAGCAGTCCCTTGGCCATCCAGCCAGGTATGGAGATCTGCACAGGCAGTGTCTACTTGATAGGGGACAAAGTAGATTTGAAAAACCAGCTTGTCCAAGGCCGTGTAGCAAAGCAGCCCACCAGTTGTGATTTAAGGGAAAGGAGAAAGGCCCAGTGATTTTTGTTTTGTTTTGTTTTGTTTTGTTTTTGGTACCCAGGGATTCAACTGGGGGTGCTTAACCACTGAGCCACATCCCCAGCCCTTTTTTTGAATTTTATTTAGAGACAGGGTCTCCCTGAGTTGCTTACGGCCTCCCTAAGTTGCTGAGGCAGGCTTTGAACTTGCAATTCTCCTGCCTCAGCCTCCTGAAYGCCTGGAATTACAGACAAGAGCCATCGCTCCAGGCTCCAAGTTCTTATGTGATTGTTTTCTTATTAATAATTTTAAGTGGCAGTTTTATTGAGGCATAATTCACATTGTACAAATTTATCTATATCGAATATACAACTCAATGATTTTTAATGTGGATAGTGAATTGTTAGCACCCAGAGTTGGGTAACCACCCGTGTAATGAATTTTAGAGCATTGTGTAATGAATTTTAGAGCATTTCATCACCACTCCAAGACCCCCCCCAAAAAACCCATAGCATTCAATTCACTCCCCTTCCCCACCTCCACCTGCTAAGCAACCACTAATCTGCTTTTGGTCTCTGGGATCTGCCTATTCCGGATATTTCATATAAATGGATCCCACACTCTGCAGCCTTCTTTGTCTGGCTTCTTTTACTTCCCAAGATGTTTCCACGTTTCATCCACGTCATCATGCTCATCGTGGCTGAAGAGTCCTGAGGCATGGAGRGGCCCATTTGCTTGGCACGACGGGGCATATGGTACCTCTATGCTGAACTCTTGGAGGATCCCTGGGTTTTCTGGTCCCAAGCCTCCCTTTCTACCTGTTGTCCTTAGTCTCCATCTTCTGTCCTGCCTGAGTCCTTCCTTCTTACCCTTTCTAAATCTTGGGCCCCACCCTCGGGGACCTGCCACACAGGATTATTGTCACTGTCCTGCTTCAGCCCTTCCTCTGAGCCACTCCCCTTTAATGACAGAGAGCTGGGGAGACAGCTGCTCCTCACATGGTCCCCTGAGGCTGGGTGCCTTCTCCGCCCACCTGGAGAGGGGGCTGGGAACTTCCCAAGCTTCTCTCTCCAGCTGTGAAGGAAGATTGTCTAATTGCTGTGAAAACTTTCTCCCCTGAGGGTGGAAGACGGGGTGCCAAGGCAAGGGGGGCAGGGTGCCAAGGCAAGGGAGGAGCCCAGGCTTGCATGCTCCAGCGGTGGGCTCTGCTTCCTGTCGTGGCAGAATCTCATCCCTCTCAGGCGGCCTTTCCTGGTGTCTGTGGCAGGCAGAGACTGGCACACACCCTAGCAGGCTCCGTGCCATCTTAACTTCTTCCTTGACAC